GCCTGTAGCGAGGACAAACAAATTGCCCTTTCCGGACTTCCACAGTCAACGTTCCCACCCGCTCAGACGGCACCTGTGGTTTTTAACCCGGCACCGACCTCACAAATGAATACGCCTTCCCAGCCGCGACAGGTAAGGGGTTCGCCCCGGGCAGAGGGGGGACGTTTGGGAGCTCATCCCAGGCTTTGGGAGCTTGTGTGCGGCTCCCGGAGCCGCCTGGCCGCCCGCTGTGCGCTCCTCCCGTGGCCACATCCGTAAATGGGAGCAAGGAGCCCCGTCATTCCCTGCGGGACCTGCGTGCCAGGGGCAGCTGCTTGAGCCCGGGGTTGTGGCTGGCCCTGTGTGCGTGCCCTGGGGCCTTGCCCCCTCCTCGCTGGCCCTGGGGGGGTGGCATGTGTCCCCAGCGGCGGTGCCCACCAAGTGACTGCTCTTCTCTCCTTCCTCCCTCTCCCTGAACCCTGCTCTCCTCCTCTCTCAGTTTCCAGCAGGGCCTCGTGCTATTCACCAGCAGGTACTAACCAGCCCCTGCACCCCGCATGCTGAGCCCGGGGCAGCACCCTGCACTGCCCACGAGCGCCCGCCTGGGCATGGGGGTCCCGGGGGCACGCGGGGAGCGGGGGGCGCCCGCTTGGCTGCCCGGGGGTTTCGCTGCTGTGGCCGTTCCTCGGGGTCGCTTGTGCATGAAGCCTGGAGCATGCGGCTGTGTCTGTGCTAACCCCCTGCCCAGGCCACCGCTTCTGCCTGTGTCCCCACTCTTGGGGGGGTTCCCAGTGTTACAGCTGCCCCCTGAGGTGTCTCAGGGCTGCTGTTGCTGGCCTAGTCCAGCTAAAATGGCATTCTGGGGCGATAAAAACCTTTTGCCATGGTCCTGGCTTCCCGCTGTGCCAGGATGGGGTGGTCTGGAAGGACCCAGTGGGTCTGCTAGGCTGGAGCTGTGGAGGAGCTGGAACCCCATAGCCTCTTGGGCCCTGGAGGCCCCAGGCGGAGGCTGGGCCCTGGATGTGGCCCCTGGGTGCTGGTGGTGCTGCTCTTGCAAACCATCCTGCTTCATGCATCCTCCAGGAGCGCAGGCGAAGGCTCTGAGCCACCGTGTGCCCCCCTGTGCTGCAGGGGCTGCTAGGGACAGACTTAGTGCACTCGCTGTCCCTTGGCGTGTCCAGGGACCTCCAGAGGGTAGGGGGGCTTCAAAGCACCCCTGGCCGAGCAGCAGCTCCCCGTGTCCCCTGGCACTGGTGGGTTTGGGCCGCGGGGACGGCGGGAAGGGCTCCCCGTCCTCCTGCTTCCCTGCTGATGGCCGGGGCGTCGCTGCGCCCGGCCCGGGCCGCGCGGCCGCTTTCCCCCTCTGTGGCCCCAGGCTGGCGCTGCCCCCGCTCCCTGTCCCGTCCTCCACCCAGCACCTGCTCCCGGGTCCTGTCTCAACACGGTGCCGGGTAACTCCTGTCTCTCTCTCTCCCCTCTCCCTCTGTATGCGTGCGCTCGCTAACAGGGAGGATTCAGGTCTCTTCAGGTAACGCTTTTTTCCGTGCCGCTTCCCAGCCTTGCCCTGGGCGAACGGGGCGCGCGCGCGGACGCTTCCGCTCCGGGCGCTCTCGGACGCGCTCGAGCAGTTTGTCGGCGCTGCCCGGCCTCCTGTCCGGTTGCAGCATCCTAGTGAGGCCAGGGATGTATCTGTAGAGCAAAAGAGAAGAAGCTGGTGGAGAGGAA